CCCGGCAGGCCTCTCTGCCTCGCTCGGTAGCATTCCTCTGCACCTAGCTGCTCTCCAACTGGACAGACTTTCAGCTCCTTGGGGTTACCCTGTTGTCTACTGGCCCAGCGCCTTCACACATGCCACGCAGATGCCTTTCCTCTCCGTACTCCTGGTGTAATTGCTGATGGGTATAGAAATTCCACAAACACCTATTGAACAGATGGTAAACAGGGTAGGGTCTGTAGTCTTGGCCAGTGCAGATCTAAACTAGGTGCTGTCTCCTAAAGGAGATAGAGTCAGCTGCTGTCTCCCAGTTTCCTGTCTCCCAGCTTCCAGCCCTAAGCCAGATAACAGGTTTTCTGACACCCTCAATTCGTGGTTCACCCCTCGCGATAATGAGCATGTACCTCCATTGCTAATTATTACTTTAGATGTGAAAGGTAAGCAAGCTGAGGTGTCCTTCCTGTTGCTAGTGAAAATGGCTGCCCCTAAACTCGTGGTGCCTGACTTCGCTTTCCTACTGCCCCCTGAATGCCTCTAAAACTTAGCAACGGCTCTGGATTGCACTGGACTTGCGCTTGCCCTGTTAACTTCGTCCTGTGTCCTTGATGACCACACACTTGCCCGGATGTAAGGCAGGAACATGGGCACCCAGACCTGGACAGCACATATTTGCTGGTGGACTCTGTGGTGAGGCCAAGTGCTTCACTTGAAAAAGAAGAAATAGAAGCCAAAACATGGAGAACTGGCTGGTGTCTGTGATCCCAGCACTCTGGAGATGAAGACAGGAGGATTCAAGCTCAGAGGCTCCTTAAGCTACCTGGGGAATTCTAGGTCAAAATGGGATACATAAGATCATATCTTTCGCTGGCAGTAGTGGTACATGCTCTTAATCCTAGCACTTCGGGAGGCAGAAGCAAGGGGATCTCTGTGAGTTGGAGGCAAGCCTGGTTTACAAGAGCTAGTTCCAGGACAGGCTCCAAATCTACAGAGAAACCCTGTCTCGAAAAACAAAGAAAAAGGTAGAAAGTGCTCACTGATCTGTGAATGAACGCAGTACTCCACTCTCAGGTTCCTGCACTTTGGAGTTCCTGTACTGGGGTTTTGGGGTGCAGTGACAGTCCCAACATTTCGAAGACAGGGCTTATGGGTAAGTCTGAAGGGATAAGAGGAGTCTCCCGATTGCGGGTCCTGGCAGGGTGCCGGGCTTGTAACTGGAAAAGATTTTCTCACAGCGGTCTTGTGTGCACGTGCATGAAGTGCGGATGAGGGTCCTACCCTACAGAGACGGAAGATTCCTCCCCTACTGGGACCGAGATGGCCTTGTGCAGGGCAGGCGGCCGAGACTTTGGGTTTACAGAGCTGGGGTGGTGCTAGTTTACGACATAGGCATCCCCAAAGCCCTGGGAAGCCTTGCAAAATCTAAGTTGTCTAGGAGACTGGGATGGGAGTAAAGAGGCCCCTTCTTTTAAAGACTTACATTCGTTCATTCATTTTCTTGTTTGTTTTCAGATTTGTTTGTTTCATTTTATGAGTGTTGACCTGCCTGTGTCTGGAAACTGGAATTACAGACCCTTGTGAAGCACCCTGGGGTTCTGGGAACCTAACCTGGGCCCTCTGAAAGAGCTGTACGTGATCTTAACCAGGGAACCAACTCTCCAGACATAGTCTCACCATTTAGCCCAGACAGGCCCAGAATTCATTATGTAACTAAGGCTAGTTTTAAGCTTTCTGGGAAAACATTGAGCGAAGGTGCAGGCCTTTGATCCCAGTGCTGGAGAGGCAGAGGCAGGAGGATTCCTATGAGTGCAGGGCCGGTCTGATTTACATAGTGAGTTACAGGCCATCCAGGACTACATGAGACCCTGTTTTAAAAACAAATAAAACAACAACAAAACCCCCCAAAAATCTTGATTACAACTTCAGATGTCATGCCTGGCTTAATGTCATAATCAGTTCAGAAATCATGCCGGGCGGTGGTGGCGCATGCCTTTAAGCCCAGCACTCAGGAGGCAGAGGCAGGTGGATCTCTGTGAGTTTGAGGCCAGCCTGGTCTACAAGAGCTAGTTCCAGGGCAGGAACCAAAAGCTACGGAGAAGCCCTGTCTCGAAAATAAAAAAAAAAAAAAAAAAAGAAATCATATGTACTATTGTATCATAACCCCAAAGATAATTTAGAATTTCAGCTTACTGATTTTAATTTTTAGTTATTCCTGGCTTAAGAGGTCTGTGACAAGAGGCTCCCATGACCACGTTATCCTCTCTCCAGGTTCATGCTATAATTTGATTTCTAACAAAATCTAGTGCTGTAATTAGGGATATTTCTTATCTGACCAGGTTTTTGGTAGAGCGAGGAAGTACAGTTGATATATTTGTCCTCAACAACATTTTCCTTGTTTTGGCTATGCTGAGGATGGAACCCAGGGCCTTGCTGGCAAATGCTGTACATGGAACTCTACTCCCAGATCACCAACCTCTTCTTGGTGGTGGGAGTGTCGTGTTCACTGGTCAGTGCCAAGCAAAGTGACAGACCCTGAGGGCAGAGAAGGGAGCCAGGCAGGAATGGCAAGGGATCCTGTCCCTGGTGGGTAGAAACAGACTCTGACTTTTGGGAAAGTTTCCTTGTTCATCTTTACAGCAGTGGGGTTCAGCTGCGGGGAGGAAATCATGATCCACAAAGCCATGTGGGGTTCTGGCCCCTTCTTTTTACCTCATTTTCCAGGCCAGAACCCTTCCAATCCTCCCTGTAAACTCCAACACTCCTAGAAGCCAGGGTAAGAGATGATAACCGCTACAGAAGATCAGAATGGTAATGCTATTGCTAAAGACCAATTTATGGCCTAAATTTCCTGACCAAATTTGACCCTTTGATGTATGTAGCTTCCCTCTTCTACATGAGCTTAGGGTCTTGATAGAAGGTAAACAAAAGGCCCTTCATTTCTCAGCCCAAGGGTGTCCTTCTGCTGTGCTTTGGTCTTGGTCTGGACATCTCAGTTTCTTCTTTCTGTACCTACCATACTCTCTGCACTCTCTGGACTGCATCTTAAGTCAGAACAGTGAGTGTGATGGAGGAAGTTCAACAACTGGCAGAGTGACAATAAAGAATGGGAGGGACGGTGGTCCTGCCTTAAGTACTGCAAAGCCAGGAGGCAACACCTCGTCTCCCCATCCTGTTTGGGAGGCTCTGCTACAAGCTCCATGTATTTATTGCACATGCTCTGTCTGTCTCTCCCCTCTCTCCCAGAATACCACATCAAACAATGGAAGATGTCCAAATGGCTGCTAAGTATACTCCCAACCTATCAACATCCATTTGGCAATGACAGTTTCTTACCTACTGATAGGTAGGTAAGTAGAGAACAAAGCATTGAGGACAGGAAGGTGAGCCAGACAGGAGGGAAAGCTGGCTGAAATTAGAACCACTTTATTAGTAACCAGAGAAGCAATTAAGAAGACAATGAGATAATAAGCAGTTTGGGAGTAGTTAATGTTCATAATTCAGAAACCTCAAGTTTAGGAATGTATCCTTAAAAATGAGATAAATGTGTGGGGATATTTTAAAATCGCTGATATAACAGAAAATTCTGGTCCTGGATTGATTATTAAGCTATGGAACACCTCTAAGCAGGAATGCATGTAGTTTAAGGAGCATCTAACTTCATGATATCCTCAGTCTTTCACCAAACCCCAGCTCATCCTGACCACATCTCAGCCTGTGACACGCCTGGCCCTGGAGAGTCTTTTCTAAGGGGATTTGGATGGCAGAGGTGTTTTGTGTATGGCGGAGGAAGGGAGAAAAGTACCTATTGCCAGATCTGTGGGAGGAGCTGCATGCTTCCTGCGGTTTGCGTGGGGCTGGCTCCGCTAGGCATGCAGAACACTTGAGTAACCTGACAGTGACATACAACCCACATATCCCTACCTGCCTCTGCCTCCTGCGGGCTGGGATTAAAGAGCCATTGTGCGCTGCTAGAAGGGATGGTTTCTGGGCTCTGGAATATGAAGATTGCCTTGTTGGATGGACAGGGTGACGGTTAAAAAGGTCAAGATTGCACAGAGGGGGACTATCAGTCAGAGAGAAGACATAGAGGCAGGGTGAAGACCAAGATGGATATCCTTCTAGAATGCAAAATTCACTGGTCCGTGTCCAGGGTGGATAAAGGTACTGAATGTGGGGCTGGGAGGGAAAGTGGAGACCGTCATCAGGCTGCCACTGAGATGCAATGTTGAGGGGCATGGTTTAGGAGCACACATATGTGGCAAAGGAGAGGAAGAACAACAGAGAAGAGTGACATATTTTGCTTCTATGGTGCTCTAAAGGAGGTCTGTGCCTCTTTCTTGAGAGATCTCTCATACACACACACACACACACCCCACAAGGTAAGTTTGATTTGTGTCTGGGAAGAACACTAGTTTTCAGTTTTGGCTAAGGGTCCTTAGGTAAGTCAGTTTGTGGCCGTAGCCTTTATTGCTTGCTTGTGATACGTTAACTAACAGAACTCCCCCAGCTGAATATTCTTGGTCTTCATTTTGTCTTACGGGGAACAGCGCTGTGCAGGAAGCAAGTAATTTGTCCTAGGTCTCAGGAGTAAATGTAAAGCCAGGATTTCTCTAGAGGCCTTATTATGCTGACATTAATACTGGCATTTTCCTGTGTCTTTGGTAGAACGCAAGAAGGAACTTGACATTTGCAAAGTAAGTACTCATTAAATTACTAATTTTAAAATTACTATTATTATATTCTTTTGAGTCGCCCCAAGTTTTTGTCTGGAGTAGTCATCATTTGGACAAATCCTTTGGATAAAAAAAAAAAAACAAACAAAAAACCCTTCAGTGAGGGGGCTGAAACTTGTTGCAGCCCGAGCCTTAAAGGGGCGGGCTAGAGGGGCAGGACCAGGACGAAGAGGGCGGGACCTGGCGGGGAGACGCGGGGCGAAGCACGGTTGCGCATGCTCGGTGTGGAGGCCCCCCCCCCCCCCTGCTGCCACGGCTGCCACCGCCCACTCCGGACTTAGAGCGAGCTGCAGGCGGCAGTCAAGGGGAGAAGGGCCCGGCTGGGCTAGCGCACGGCCATGGCCCCGTGGCTGCAGCTCTGTTCCTTCTTCTTCACTGTCAACGCCTGCCTCAACGGCTCGCAGCTGGCAGTGGCTGCGGGCGGCTCGGGCCGCGCGAGGGGCGCCGACACCTGTGGCTGGAGGGTAAGGCGAGGGTTTCTTCGGGCTCCGAGTTACCTGGGGGCGCTCGGCGGGCACAGGTGCTCGCGGGCAGGCGAGCTGGAACCGGCGGATCTCCCGACGCCGGATCTGCGGTCAATGGGGCTCCCAGCTCCTCCAGCCCATCCCGCGTCTCGGACCCCGGGCGCGCGTCCGCCGGTCCCGCTCTGGTTGAAAGAGGCCGCCGACCCCTGGCTTTGTGTTGCTAATGAGGCGCGGCCGCTGGCTGGGGTCCGACTCCCGAGGGCGGGTGGCTGGGCGGCGGGGCGGGGGCCTTGCGCCCCACCCTTTGTTCCCGGCCCTCTGCCCCTGGGCTACGCGTCCAGGACTGGGATCTTCCGGGCTGTCGCGGAACGGGTGCGCTTCGGAGCTGGTGGTTCGTGCCCTGGACCTCTTGTCTGTAGCTCTGCAAGGGCTTAGGGCATCCAGGGAAGGGAACCTGGAGTGCTAGGGAACGATGCATCTCCTTTCTCGCCATCGCTTTGTTCAGGCAGCTCGTCACCCTACTCCTTCCTAACTTTCTGAGAGTCTGACTGCCTTTCAGCCTTTCGTTTGGCTAACGGTCTCATGATGCCACCACTACCACTCAACGCGCCGCAGCTTGAGTTGAGGATGTTTTTATAGCCAAAGGTCATCTCCGCCAGGTGCCCCAGACCTGAAACTGGTGGCGCCCAGACTTTTTCTGTGTACTTGGAAGCCCTCTCCCCAGAGCGGGTGTTCCTTTCCTGTGTAGTGGGGTCCCCTGGTTTGTGGACCTTGAGCCTTCCACAGAGAAGAGGGCGCTGCAAGTCTGGCCACTCACACCTTCAACCCTATTGTGAGAACACAGGCTTTGCCCTCAGGCAGCCAGGAGAGCATCTCGAGTGCCCGGTCTGTTTTCTTACCTAGAAAACAGAAGGGATGAGGATGTTGTTGCTGATTTCCACGGGGCTCAGGGTGTCTTGGGGAAGTTTGCGTAGACCAAGGTTGTCTTAGCCTCAATACAGACAAGACCCAGGACAGGACACCTCTTAGGGTCACTTAGCTCACTTGCTTCACATTTAAAGAGAATCACGGTTCAGAAAAAAAGAGAAGAACAGGCAGCGATGGTCAACGATTCCCACTCTTTTCCTCTTAGGGAACGCTGTTACCCTTTGGGTAAACCCTCAGGGTTTCTTACTGTGTTTCCATTGCAGTAAAATATCCCTGCTAGTTTTAACAGATTCCAAATTTCTTTAAGGTGCTCTCATTTATCAATTCTTTTAAGATTTTAGATCTAGATTGGTCTTGGCAGTTGCTGTAGTGCCTAGAATACCTGCTACTTGTAAAGTTTTAACAGTTGATGTATAATTGTCTCTGAACGATAACCCCCCTCCCATGTGAGCCCATCACTGTCTCCCACATTCCTGGCCTCCTGGAATTGATCTCAACAGCTCCTGCCTTGGTGCCTACTACCATCCTTCGCCTTCCTGGATGAACATGGAAGCTTCTGGGTCATATCCCAGAGTCCAGCCTCTTTCTCATGGCTCCTCTCTTCTGTGATTGCCTGCTTGGTACCTGTGAGATTAGGCCTGGCTTCCTCACCCTGCTGCCTGCACAGCACTGTTTTCTGCCCCCTCCCCTCTGTTGTCCAGCTTCTAACTCCTTTCACAGGCCAGGGTGTGCTTTCCATCACGACTGTTTTCTGCCCTGAGAGCCTGCTTGGTGACACTGACACCTCTTCAGAGAAATCTCCCGGAATGCTCTGCCCTGTGCTTTACTTTCTCATTCAGGTCCCTTACTCTTTGGTGCTTGCCAGTTCCGTGTGGTTAATTTCTTCAAAGCCTGGTGCCCTACAAATCTTGGTTGAGGACATGTAGACCCTGCAATCTTTCTGCAAAATCCTACATTAAACAATTTGAAGAATCGGGATACCTGAGCCTAGTGCTTGTGATCCCAGCTACTCAGGTGGCTGAGGCTCAGGAACAAAAGTTTTGGGCTTCAGAATGAGTTTCAGTTCAGGACTAGCCTGGCCAACTCAGAGAGACCCCCGTCTCAAAAAAAGAAGAAAGAAAGAAGGAAGGGAGGAAGGAAGAAAGGCCGGTGGGGGTGATACAGCTCAGCAGTAGAACATGTGTGTGGCATGTCTGCGGTCTGGGTTCACCTCCAGTGGAGGTAGGCAAGGAGATCTCCGCACCAGGCTTCCATGTGCTGTGTGTGTCCCGTCTGCAGCAGGCCTTTGCACAGTGTGCCTGACTGCAGCCACGTTTAAAGCTTGGGAAAATATTGCTCCTTTTTAGTGTCTTCTCCCAGCTCTATCATGGCTTCCTGCAGTAAGCCCTCCTTGTCCCTCCTTCAGTAATTAAGATGTCCCAGAGGTTACTTTGTCCTGGGGTTCTAGTAGGCGCTAGTGTTCAGAATCTTGGGTTTTCGAGTCACATCTGTCTGCCTCTTAACCAGGTCTGCTACTCAGCCTGTGGATGTTGGCCTTGACTCTGAGGTTACTTACAGTCTAGTTGGGCCTGTATAAATATCTAAGAATAAGCGTCAAGGCTGAGGCAGGAGGATGGATGACTGTGAGTCACTCTCCCACCCCCCAAGAAAGCAAAGAAAAGGCTGGGAGGGGGTGTGGGAAGTGTAGCTCATTGGTAGAGTGCTTGCCTAGCTTCCTACAGGGTCTGGGGTCATTCCCCATTGCTTGGAGGGTTAGGGGAAGGATAATGAATAAAGATGGGAGTGGTGGTGCCACAAGCCTTTCGCACCCAGAAGGTAATGGTAGACAGAGCTCTGTGAATTCAGGGCCAGCTTGGCCTGCATAGCGAGCTCCAGGCCAGCCGAGGATATATAGTAAACCTATATATCATATATATAATCTATATATCTACCTCAAACAAACAAAAATAAGAAGTAAATAGGGTAAATTATATGTGATTTGAAAGAAGTAAAGAGGGTGAACAAGTGATTTGAACCGCAGTGGGTATCATCCTGGGGTCTGAGCGTCACAACCTTGAGCCCTGAAGCCCTGAAGGCGGGGTGAACACTGGAGAACACGTGAGTGAATGCCCCGCTTAACCTCCATAGGGCATTTGGGCAGGAAACCCAGGCCCCTGTAGGACTGGATATTTCCCCAGGATTTAAAGGCGCTGCAGCAGGGAGAGCTGCTCTCACGCCCATGAGCTGGCCTGACTTAAGTGGTCAGGTTTCACAACCTCCCTATTACATGTGGGGTAATTAAGGGACTGATACCATCTTGAACACAGCTCAGTGTTTTAGAGATGAGTTGTGGGCACACTTCCTCAACTATCTGAAGAAAAAGAAAAGCTCAGTCTTTGCCAGGTAAGGATGTGCTTTGAATAATAAATATTGTTTTTTCAAAGGAGTTAGAGTCTGTAAAGCTTCCCCAGGGGCTGGCCCTGCACTGACACTGACTTGAAACCCTTAGTACTTTCCTTTGTTTCTTTCCTTTTGTTGGTTGTTTGAGAAAGGGTTCCTCTAGGTAACAGCCCTGGCTGTTCTGGAACTCACAGAGATCTGTCTGCCTCTGCCTCCCGAGTACAGGGATTAGCCACCACCGCCTGGCACTTTCTACTACTGCTTTTATTTTTTGATGTATGCGTTTCATTTAGTTGGTTTACCGGATTAGATTGTGCAGGTGTGTACTCAGGCAGAGGCCAGAGGATGTCAGGGGACCTGACACGTGTCTCTTACTGAACCTGCAGGTAGACAGGCAGCCAGCGAGCCGCAGGGATGCTCTGGTCTCTGCTCGCCTCAGCACCCACGGTGTTACAGGCACAGCCACGTAAGCATGGTTGCCCCCGTTTGACTTTATTTGGATAGTGAGGATTTGAACTCAGGTCCTCTTGCTTGTCCGGCAATTGCTTATGCCCACTGACGCATTTCCCTAGGCTCTGAGCTCTTTTTGATGGAGGCATTGTTCTGCTTGTGATGGGTACCGTTAACATGTCAATCCCTAGTGCTGAGAGATCCATTCTCACAAATTTCCTAGGTGCCATTCTGGTCTCCTTCCTGCCCTAAATGGCGTACATATTCCCTGGTCTATTGTGTCTGAACTACAACGTCTAAACCCCTTCCCCCAGAAGACTGTCTTTAGCAACTCGGAAACTGTGCTGGCACCATACAATGAAGGACAAGTTTCCCATTTAAGGCAAATATTCCATCTCCAAAGGTAGAAAGGAATAGGGTAGTATTGGGGGGGGGGGAGGTTTCCAGCTGGTTAAAATTTAGGCCCCTGATAAAAGTCCAATCCAAGAATTCCTCCTGGCTGAGAGCCCAGGCATGTTTATTTGATTCTGAACTGGATGCGTTTTCATTCACTTGCAGCTCATGACTCCGAAGTCCCGTATCTTCTTGTTCTGTGTCCTGTGGATCACAGCTCACACAGACGCTCCTGTGTCAATACAGAATTCTTAGGTTAAAATGATTTTAGTTTTGGGTTGACAGGGTTTTTTTTTCGGAGCTGTTTTTATGAAACGTACAATACTTTCTTCCGGACTGTTTTGTAGTTGGCTAGGAGCCTGCATGGCCTTAGCTTTCTTTCACGCTCTCCATCCCCACCCATCCCACCCTGAAGGCCTGAAGTTCCTGGACCATTGTGCTAGTTACCAACGCAGGGCCATGTGAGTTCTGCCTGGAGTATTATTATTTCTTCCCAAAGCTGGTTTTTCAAAGATATCTCCAGAAGCTTCTGGTATCTGAATTGGACACTTGCTAGAATGGAGACCAGAATGAGAGCGTGGTAGAGCCCAGGTGTTAGCATTTGAACGAGATCCTGGGGTAAGATGATTCTTCCGGTGAGTTCTCAGTGAGACACATTGCTTTGCTCCAAAATTAGGAGAGGAAGAGAAAATACTTTCTAAATATTTAAAAATCAGTCCTTTGGGCTTTAAGTTGTTTCCCTGGTCTTGGACAACAGTACCAGAAGGGAGGCTATTTGAAGAGTCTGGGAGCTAACTAGGCAGGGCATCCTGACTTGGGTGGGGTCCTATGGTCTAGGGTTAGAGAGGAGG